ATAGTAAGTACATGTAACGTGTAACAAGGAGACCTTAAAATAAAGTGTTACCACAAGTTTCAATTTATGTAATATTGTAAACTATACTGTATTCATCCAAATAAATTGAATTTGTTTTATATTTTTATTTAGATTAAAGGAATCTAAGGTTATTTAACCAGATGATTTTAGACATCCCTAGGACAAGATTAAAACTGAGTGGTGACTAGGCATGTTCAGTGGTGGCCCCAAAGCTTTGGAATAGTTTGCCTTAATATCGTAGACTTCACCTACATTGGGCTCTTTTAAAAGAAATTTGAGATAATATATAGTAGAGTTAGCTTTTGGCTCAACAGATTGATCTAACAAAGTGGCTCTCATTTTTTCCTGTGATGTTTGTTTTACTTGCTTAATTATTTGTCAGTCGTTTCCTCTCTGCGATGTTGGTCTCATTTTTTTTATTAGCTGTTGTTGTTATACGGCAGATTGGTCAATCTTGTGTTGTTTTAATTGTGCTCTTTAAATAAAATAAAACAAAAATATATTTGTCTATGGCTGTTCTTGCTTATTAATAAATGTTCACCTTTTGGTTATTGCTGTTGCCTCTAGTAATTCTGCGTGAGATTTATAATTTTCAGCAATATAGTCATTTTTAAACAATAATTGAGTTAAATAAAACAATTTGGATCAACCAGCCCCACAACCAACTGGGTCAAAATTATCTTATATATCACTGATTCTTGAGAAGTGGGACAAAACAGGGTGTAATATTGAAAAAACCTTGTACCTAGACAAATGAAACTACATTTATGTATCTATCTAAAAACAATATTATTTTGTGTATTTGGTGTAACGCAATTTTCACACGGTTTAAGGTTCAAAAAACAAATTTTTTCCCCACATACTGTACATTATTGTTGCTCCTCTATGCCCCGCCTTTCTGAAACGCGTAAATTTTTTACAAAGCTCATTGTTCTGAAAAGCACGGTGTGCTCTGATTGCCCATCTATAAAGTGCGTTGTGATTGGCCGAATACCTCGAGAGTGTGACTAAAATGTTACGCCCCTTACCATACTGTGATGCCGTGTCCCGGCGCTAAGAGACAAAAACAATAAAACCCATTATAAACTAGACATTTGTTGCATCCAGTGGGGACATAATTACGGATTATAATGACTTATACTGTCTTTTTACGTGTTTCGTTGCATCGCGCCGCGTAAACATAAAACCATGTCTGCATTTGTGATCGGAGAAATGACAAACAACAAGCGCTACTCTACAGTCCTCAAAACTCGCGTTTGAATCGTCAGTGGCAAAATCTTTAAATATGAAAACATACTTACAGGCTGGGAGTTAGAAGTCCCAGACTGTCCTTGCAAAGTTGAAACTGCACCACTTTATAGAAACAGCCTTTGTGCACAGCCGGCATTGTAGGCTACTCTCCCAGGTTCAGGAAACAGTCCTCCGTAAAATTCGCTGCACACACTCGAATATTTGGGTTGAACTCTTCTGGAACCACTGATTTCTAGTTGTGTCCTCTTTTGGAAGGCCAAACAAA